AGAACCAGGTTCTCTGAACTTATATCAAACTTTCTTTCCTCCGTCATCCTCGATTTAAAAGCACTAGAGGAGGATAATATTTATTTTGTGAAACAGTTCTACAAAGTCTACTACATTCCCGCAATTTTTACGCGTTTGCAATTATGGATTTCTCATTAAAAAAAAAAAAACTTTAGCCACAAATAAATCTAATGAGTGCAGAAAAAAGAACTTCTACGTAAATAGGCTATGGCTAAAGGGAAAGTAACATTAACAAGTTCTTCTGAAAGTTAGGAAGCGCTTGACTAAAAGTGCTAATGTCTATTTTGAGAGAATAACTTTAGTCTTGAGTTGACTGCAGATTGAGGGGAACACGCAGCGGGAGGGTGACAGAGCCGAAACCGCACTTTTTAAAATTACAATTATGAAGCAATCGGAAACAATCTTCCACTTTCGCTACTATAGTCCCATACTACTTTTTTCGGTCCAACAATTCAGGCCTATACGAGGATAATATTTCCGTTTTAAACGAGAGGAACATCTTGTGAAACTTTCATAACAGAAATATCTCATAAGACATAAGCGAAGTTCCTTCAAAACAGAAATAATTACAAATGCAAAAAAAAGAAAAAAAATAATAACGCATACACTAAAGCAGGATAATTTTATTGTGTGATACCCCCCCCCCCCCCCCCCCCNAGTCCAATCGGAAGATCCTCTCCTCGCAGTGGAAGTAATAACCTGTCAGCGTTACAATGATCCTATCCTATTTAAAGCTCGAGCGTTTTAGAACGTGTTTACTGGTCCGCATATGGATGCGCCTTCAAATTCGTGTGGATGCTGCAAGTGATGCACCTAAGAACCTCGACTTATAATCAAACGAAAGCGTGAACATCGCAGGATAGCGCGGCGTGGCGTTGTATCGTGCTTCTTGTTATTTTTGACCTGGCGGTGGATCCCTATACAGGGTCAAAAATCAAGCTTTGCAACATGTGTTTTCTCAGACAAATCACGCGCGCAATATGGCTGGTAGATTGCAAATTTCCAATTTTAACTTTTACGAAAGTTATTAAAGTTTTTCGCCGAGGAAACCGAAGTCCAACAAGATCAAATTGGACACTGGGAACTTATTTCAGTACTTTTTACGATGCAATTTCGTCTCGCCGTCGGATCCATTCAGACAAGTTAGCAATCACACCGTATTAAAAGAGGGGAAAAAACTGGGGAACAGATAATCTAGAATGTTTGTCTAGTGATCAGTATCTTCTCAATGACCAACTTAACATATAGATCTTAAATAAGAATCATACAAATAGTGATTGGAATAATTGTTGTTTTTAATCATAGACTGAACATTATATGTAAGCTTTTTTCCGTCTCGAAATTTTTCTGTGAAAATCGCATTACACAGAACTAGTTTAAAAGTTTTTCAGTAGGGTCGTCACCTCCATCCAAAAATGTGTATAAATACTTTAAAGATCCAAGTCCACACCAAAACTTCGAGAATAGGACAAATGTCTTTTCTCCGTCTTCTTTTTTCGCCGCTTGCGTTTTTCATTCAATGGATGAGAAAATGGACTTGGACCTCGAGCGTATGGATTTAATATGCGTTCTTAATATATCTCTCTCTTTTCATCTTCCGTTTTGGTGACCAACACACCAGCTCTATATCACCGTATTTCTTGACCCACGTATTTTCTATACCTTATCTCGTTTTCTTCCGGAAAAGTTTATGCTTTGCATTCTGATACCGAGATTGAGGAATTACTTCTAGTAGATGATACGTTTAGGGAAGTTTTTCTAATTCAAACTTTCTCTGTGCAGAGCATAGTTTTTATTATGAGGAGTACAAGACGAATGTGGATGTGAACTCAGAGAGAAATGATTTATATTAAAATGCGCATCTTGATCGAAGAGTAGAAAAAAATCTATCCACCGAAAATCTCGGGTAAGGAGGGAGATATTTTCTTGTTAAAAGATAAACAGAGAAAAATGAGGTTTTACATAGGTCACACAATGAAATGAGTCCAACGAGCTGACAAACACGCGGTAGCCAACTTTACAGCTTTTATACAAACTCTACTCAGAGGAAATGAGGGCCAAACTATCATAAGTAAATACCTGGCAGGATTCATTCCTCTTAAGTCTGAGCAAATACAAAGTATCGATGAGTCTTTTATTCTTTGGAATCCCAATGAATTCCTCAAAAATATACCATTAAATCAAAAGAGGGTTTCAGAAAACCATTAATATTTTGAATTGTTTCGTGCCGAAGATGTAATGCAATCCTTGTAAATCAACTTTTGCAACTCCTTGCAACTTCTGTAAATTGATGTGACCCCTTGAAAAAAAGCACTGTTCATTCAGATGGCATTGATTCAGCATAAAATTTGTTTTTACCATTACGTTTATTTCTCTTTTTCTTTGTTTTTTGCCCTCAGATTTGCATCGCATATCTGCCAGAAATAGGCTGATGTGAGGGAAGAGGTTGGGAAAGAAGTTTCCCTTCGAAGTTTACCCTCCTCCAATTTGATTAAAAGGTTGAACATTTTTTGATAGTTTATCAAAAAAATTTAAGTCTCTAAACAGTATTAGGACTGCATTTTGCAATTGGGAACTGCTATCTCTGGCTCATCCGTGAAATCGTTTATGTGCATAGGGAAACTAATGGTACCAACGATTATTTTTGAAATTAGCCGGAAATTATACTTCCGAATTGCAAAATGTAGTCCATTGATGGTGTAAGGCTGCTGGAGGATATTTAAATAAGTTATTAATCCTAAAATACAATATACGTTTTCGGGAAAGCATGAGAAAATCAACGTTTAAACGATCTACTAAAATATGAATATACCTCTTGGTTAAAATATTGTTGTTCCTCAGAGGTTTTTTTTGGGCCAAAATTTAGCCAGCAAAGGTAAATGGGAGAACGGGCTTGTTTTAATTTTAATGTAAGACTACTCGCAGATTGGAATGTTATATTTTTAAGATATTTAAGCTTCCTTGGCTAATATATAAGCTATGGTGGTATATAAATAGACCAAGTAATGCTAATTTTATATATACCTAAAAACTTTAGCGTGCCTTTTCAATCATAAAAGTTCTCGCTCTCTTTCAGACTATTTTCTGATGGCAGGATGGTCTGCGAAATACATACAAGGAGTATCCAAGAGGAGGAGATGACAACCTTGTCGAGAAAAGGAGGGTGAGAGGGGCGCGCTAAGGTGTCGGATACTGGGCGCAAGAGCCAAGCCCATAAATAACAACTATTGGCCATGGTTGTCATCGGACAAATTGGATAGTCCAATTGGAGCACGATGCAGTTCGGCACTCGCTATCTTGTTTGCCTAGGCTCTCTTTTGCCCTGTTTTTTGTACGTTGATGGATTATCTAAATGATGGTGCCATACTGTCGTGTTGAAGAAAAACGCCGTATGACCAACCGGACATTGCAAAATTTCTTTCGAAAAGAGTCGAATTTTCCGGACAAATCGTGTATACAATTCTACAAAATTAATAGATAGTTTAGCTTACAATTCAATTTAAAGTATCTGGAAAATTTCAAGGGGAAATACTGATGACACTCTTCAAAAATGAATAATTTTATCGGGAAATTTGGCAACATTTGAATGTTCATACGGTGTTTTTCCTTGGCTCGACAGAGTGGCCAGTCCACGATGGCTGAGCGTTTAGGCGAGAGCGGGGTTGTCAAAAGTCGCATTTTTCCTACATTCAAGGATTGTAAAATACGCAAATATTTCCGCATGAACAGGCCACGGCGCGGAGGCGTCAGTATGGCCTCACCGCGCCCATTTCCCGCGGAACGCCATGCACGGCGAATCGGGGAAATAGGGGCTAGAAGAAAGTATCTCATTACAGCTACTGTACCCGGGATAGGTCTTTTTAGCGTTGAGCGTCTCAATTTTGACCGGCCACCGTCCACTGACTGGTTGGCTGGGACAGGGGACACATCAATCAATAGCGAAATCCTAATTCTACAAGGAGTGACGCCTCTCATCACCCCGTTCCCGCTTGCAACTCCGCTCCGCAGGTCCGTACCC